CTGGGGGTTGGGGCCCTTTGCCGGACCGGGAAAAAAAAAAAAAAAAAAAAAAAAGGATAGTAACCACATTTCTGTAGATGAGGACTTTGTTCTTTCCTCCCAGGACGGGGGAGAGTTTGAGTGAATATTCGTGATCTCTCTCCGCCCATTTCCCTCACTTCTGCAGCCAGGGGAGAAGTGACTGCTCAGATTGATCAGAGTCTGGGATTTTCATGGGACCACTGTTAAGTGATATCACTGTGACTCACCAAGAGGCAGGATCCCCCCTCCCCCCGCTACCCTGAGTCTCTTGGATTTGCCTTTACTGAAGGTCCTTTCGGGTTTTGCTCTTTCTTTGTTGTGCCCAGGTGGTTGTAGTCACAGGGTGTGCTTGGCTAATACAGCACTCCCAACAGGTAGGTCCCAAGATCTCAGGGTAAGGAAAAGACCCTGCTTTGTCCTTGAGTCTAAAATCTGTTCTTCTATTTGGCCATTATCAACTGTTCTTTGAGATTATTGGGTATTTTCCCAGCCATTAGAAAAGCTGCTGTTTTAATATCCACTTGTGAATTTTGTGCCTTTTCTACTTTTTAAAATTGGGGTGTGGTTTAGGCAGATAGGTCTTCCTAGTTTCCCAAAATAAGCAAAAATTAAAGGGACCTAAACTGTAATCATCTGATTTTAATTTTTTTCTTTTGAAATGATTTTAAGCTTATGAAAAGTTGAAAGAATAGTACAAAAAACTCCCATTTATTTTTCTCTCAAATTTCTCTTAAGTTAACATGTTGTCTTATTTGCATTATTTTCCCTCTCTCTATATATATGTGTGTGTGTGTATATATATGCATATATATATAACTTAACTCTATCTCCTGATAAAGGAGGCATTCTAAATAAATAAATAGAAAAACAGAATTATTTAATAAATGTGTTGGAATAACACATCTGGGAAATTAAAATCTGCATTTCTGCCTCACACCTTATACTCAAATGAGTTCCATGAATCAAAGATTGAAATATATATAGAAAAGAATATGGAAGAAATCTTTATATAATCTTAAGATATAGGCTTTCCTAAGCAAGATATAACACCCAGAAGCTGTAAATGAAATATTTAAAACTATAAAAATTTTAAATTTCTACATGGCAAAAAAATAAGCTATGAGTTTATAATGATACCAAAAATGAACAAAAACAAAGCTTCTTTATTGGTCACCATTGGAAATTGCCAGAGCATTGACTTATCACTCTGAAAATTGATAAAGAGAAAGAATCAAGCATTTACTTAGTTTTTCTACAGTTCTACTTATTTTTAATACAGTCCTACTGTATTTCAGTCTAAACAAATAATTGGTGAGAGAAAGTTCTTCTTTGTAGAAGAATTTCAGTTAATACATTGAAAAGGAGTGAAGAATTAGAAAATCACTCTTATACACTGTATTGTTTCATTTTTGTTGCTTATAACAGAATACCTGAAACTGGGTGATTTATAAGGAAACAATATTTATTTCTTACTGTTTTGGAGGCTGGGAAGTCCAAAGACCAGGGAATACATCTGGAGAGGGCCTTCGTCCTGGTGGGGTGACCTTACGGCGATACCGAGTATCACATGATGAGAATGGGCTGAGCAAGACAGCTAACCTCCTCACTTGTTCTCCTTAGAAAGCCATCAGAACCACACCCATGAAAACCCATTAAACCATCAATGAATTAATTTATTCATGTGGGAACAGTCCTCAGGATCTGATCACCTCTCAAAGTCCCCACCTTTCAATTACCATAATAGGATTTCCCACCCTCTTAATACTGTTACAATGGAGGTTGAGTTTCTACTTCCTGAACTTTTGGGGGACACATTTAACCCATAGCATGTAACTTCTAATGAAACACATTTAAAACATATGGTTTTTAAGAAGGCTAGTATAAAGCAGTGTTCCCAAATTTCAGTCATTGACCATTCATGGTTTTTAGCATATCTGAAACCCACCTGTCTTATTTTCTTAATATTTGTCTTTAATTGATTTTTTTAAATTAAACTTCATCTCAAGCAGTTTTTTAGATGTTCTAACTTAATTTTTTCTTATTAAACATCCAAATTGGTACATAATAATTTACATTTTAAATATTTGTGTTTTTGCTTACCACATAAAATCATTTCACAGGCCACACCAGATATAGAGAAATGCTACATACTTCACTTCATCTTGGGCTTTGAATGACTTTCCTAAGATTAAACGGCCTCCTTCCTAAAATCAGTTTCCTCTCTCTTTTTTCCCCTCTCTATTTTACTAGAATTCTGTTGTGTTGCAAATTTATGTATTAATATTTTGATAGAAAACTACTTCTAATGTCATTAAATAGCAGAGTAAATTATATTCCTGAGAAAAATTCGTTGGCTACACTAATTGTGATGTAGAATTTTTAGTTATAACATTAAAAAACAAACTCAGTTAATATCTTTGTACTTTCACTAAATTTTTTGTTCTGGTGTCTGCCTCATAATTCATCCATCAAATACCCCTTTTCTGGGCAATTTTTGCATGTTTATTCTGTTTTTAAAAATGAATTCTGGGGTTGTAGTCACTTTTCCCTACACTTATTTTATCCTTGATCCTAACTTGATTGAGTCATTTTTTAACATCTTCTTGATTAATGGTCTTTTTTTTTTAATTGAAAATTGGCTATATTTTATAAATTTATTTTCCAATGTATAATATAGGTTTTCTTCAAATTTTGAAAAATGAATAAGGATATTATTTACCAAATAGAATTAATATCAAAGGATGCATTTACTGTCATAAAAACATTATATATATGAACAGGTGAAATCACTTCTCAAATTATAGATAGAAAAAAAATGTTTTGGTGGCTGGCCAGTATGGGGATCCACATAAAAATATTTTTGAAAATTTAAATTATGAATGTAATATAACTTTTAAATCATAAGTCATTTAATTTCCAAATAAATAAATTATGTCATGTACAAAATTAGTAACTTCTGTGCCTTAGTTTCTTCTTAAAACTATTATTAGGTAGGAGTAACAGTATAACATTTTACTGTGTAATGGCAGATTACACCCTGATACAACTTTTCTCCTCTAAGTGACTAGATGTTTCTTTCTCTGATGTCATTACTTATAGAAATATATATATGGTATGTGTTCGTCATTACAAGAAATTTTTTCCATTGTTCATAAAAAATTTACTCAACCATCTCTTTCTCATTCTTCTCAATTGACATGTTCTGTTTCAAGATGTTTCTTCTAGAATAATATCTAAGTTGTAATTTTCTGTAGGGAAAAACAATTGCATAAAACATTTTAAAGTGAGGATGTGGTTCTTAAAGGACATACTTAGAGAGAAAATGTGTAAATAAAACTAGGTTTTACTTGCTGATTTAAATGTGCTGCAGAAATGTTTGTGTCATGAATAACTTGACATTGAGGCTATGATCTGTTTTCACAGAGTTTAGGAGTTGACACTCTTCCTCCTCCTGAACCTAAACCACCCAGACATGAATTCAACTACAGTGTGGGTTTTAAAGATTTAAATGGTAAGCACGGCAATGTCTTTTCTCAAGTCATTTGAAATCAGAAAAATGACTAAAATCTGTATGGAACTATAATTTGAAAACAAAATTAAAGGAACATAAGTGGACATCATGATAAAAATATCATTGTTAAAGTCTTGAATTTCAGATTGTGTTTTATTGTGTCTGAATTGACAGAGCCAAGAAGATATTTTTGCCTTTAATGAAAAGTGTCAAAATTATCTTATTTTTTGAAGTAAGGGGAGTTTCTTCTTATTACTAAGCCCATAGAGTAACATGGAGTAGCATAATAAAATATTAATAAGGGTCAAGTTAAAGGATAAAAATGAACCATCCAGTTCATATTGATAATATATGAATGGATGCTTCAAAGTATAAAATAATATTTTATTTAAAATGTAATATATTTAAATTTGTATATTATTTACTCTTTTTAGCATGTTTTAATTCTCCCTGAGATTGTCACTTTATTTTATTAACAAAAATCTCTCTTTTTATGTAGTGCAAGGACAATCTTTAGCTCATGTGCTATTCAAATTTACAATAAATCTCGAATAATCTCTTCCAAATTAATGTGAATTCATGGCAACTCTTGCAAAAGGTTTGATAAAGACTTGCAGGTCCTACCAAAAGTATGAGCCAAAATAAGAGAGAAGTCTAGTTACAGAAATCTAGTCCCAAGTTTTATTTACATCCCTCACTGGGTTTCTTTGTTTCTATAATTTTCATTAGTTTTTTGATATACCATTAGATGCCAATGACTGTTTTTTGGCAAATTATAATACACCTCTTCTGATCTTCTCCTTTTCCTATACTCTTTTCTATTTGCCACATAAACTTATTATTTCTGTCAGTCATTTCCATCATGATGGTAACATTCACAAAGTTTCAAAAAGGCAATACACTTGTAAAATTACAACAGCAATAGATATCATGTACTTGTGTGTATTAGTCCATTTGTGTTGCTATAACAGAAATACCTGAGACTGGGTAATTTATGAAGAACAGATTTATTTGGCTTATGATTCTGGGACAGCTGCATCTGGCACGGGCCTCAGGCTGCTTCTACTCATGGTAGAAAGCAGCAGACAGCTGGTGGGTACAAGCAGATCACATGGTGAGAGGAAGCAAGAGAGAGAGAGGAGGTGCCAGGGTCTTTTAAACAACCAGCTCTCACAGGAACTAATAGAGCGAGACCTCACTCATTACTCCCCCACCTAGGGAAAGCACTAATCCATTCATGAGGGATCCACCCCGTGACTCAAACTGCCACACTGGGAATCAGATTTCCATGAGTTCTGGGAGGACAGCACATCCAAACTCCACCACTGTGCATGTGAATGTTGCAGATTCAGCCTCACCACACTTGCTACAGCTGAGTGCTTTAAAATCAGTTTGATTAAAATTAAAATTTAATTAATATTTCAGTTCAGTTGCAGTCAACTCAACAAATGCTTTCTAAGCACTAACTCAGTGCCTGCTATCAAAAAAGTACTGAAAACAATAGGAAAAAAGAAACCCAGCAATATATAAACATAGTAATATTGCAGTACAGTAATAAGAAACTCATCTCACTAAGGAAGCACCATGTAAACATGTGACCTGATTTGAGTATAAGACAAGACAAAAAGTACCAATGTGCATGAAAAATTAAATTTCTTGGGAATTAAATTAGGAATAGATTTTTATAATGTCTTCCCTTTCAAGCATTGCTAAAATGACTTAAAAATATTTTGCCCCAAGTCATTCAGAGAGTTGGTGATAAACTTCAGAATCAAATCCATTTCCATCTCACTCCCCAATTCCATATTACCCGATTCTATATTAATAAATTTAATATGTATTAATAAATGTAGGGGTCTTTATTAATATATTAACAAATAATATAATAAATTAATATATTAAATTTACTTTGGAAATTGTTAATATAAGTGGCATTGTGGGGATTTTGTCCCTAAAATGTTTATAAAGAGTTAAAAGGCTTATATGTCAGTAATCACAATGTGATTGATTACATTACATTAGGAAATTATGAATAGGCTTCATTAATTCTATACATATTTTCTCTGAAAACATTTTAAATTAATTAACTTAATTTTATAAAGAAGAGTTTATTACAATATAATAAACTCTTTTGACACATTTAGGACATCCAAACTTTTTAGTCTGACTGCTGTGCACTAGAACTATTAGTATTAACGTAATATACTACATGCTACATGGTGTTTATGATGATGATGTTTGGCAATAAATTATTCATTTCCACTGCTCCCATTTCCTCATTCCTGTTTATCCTACGCAGCTAGAATTCTCTTCCTCATGGGTCACTGTCATCCTGCCCATCCTTCATTCATTGCACTCACAGTGCTCTGCTAACACCGCTCATCAACCCCACTCCCACCACACCATGCAATCTAATCAGCTTTCAGGATCATGCATCTAAAGTCTGATCTACTACAGTGATCTCACACTTGGAAGAAATTGTGAGGTGAACTCTGCTAACTCCCCCTTGCTCTGAAAATCCATGTCTGCCCTTTCTTTTAGGTTAACTCCCAGCCTACTGTCTTCATAAAGTCTTTACCATTTAATTCCCTAAAAAAACTTTTATACTTCTTAATGCCTTTAGTGCATTAATTCCTGCTGTTTATCACTCATTGCTCTTTCTTTGAATGTGAGATTGGGTGGTGAGCCTACAGAAGCTCCATCTTCACCTCAAACTCTCAAGGAGTATTAGACCCCAGCTGGTTAAAACACACTTTCTTCCAAATATTTTTATCAGCAGTACTCTGTCCGCCCTGTAAATGCTTGGGGAGAACTCCCCTTCCATCTCTTTCCAATATCCTCCCTGCCCTACTTTTCTAAAACTCTAAGATCTTGCACTAGAATTTACATGAATTCCCTACTTATGCATCTAGTCCTGTGTTTCGTCTTTTTAACTGGTACGTGAGGTGCCCCAGTGTAGAGAACACATTTTTTCCTTTTCTTTTCTTGGAGTTAGAACTCATTCACATTAAGCACTCAATAAATGCAGCAACAATCATTTTAGGAATTCCTATACCTGTATGTGTGCTATTGAATAAAAATATTCTCAACCTTTCTTATTAGAACAAATCAAAATAATGATTCCCCCTACACAAATATTATTCTCAAAAGTTTTTTTTTTTTCTTCAGTTTTTCCAGGTGCAAATAGTTGTTTTTATCATTAATATGATTTTCCCTATCAGAGTCCTTAAATGCCCTGGAAGACCAAGATTTAGATGCTCTCATGGCAGATCTGGTAGCAGACATAAGCGAAGCTGAGCAGAGGACAATCCAGGCACAGAAAGAGTCCTCTCAGAACCAGTGTCATTCGGCATCTCTGGAGGCATCAAACGTATGTGGGGCAGCCTCTCTTGGTTACGGAGGAAATGTCGCTGTCATGAGTGTCAGCCAGTATGAGGACAATTTGCCACCTCCACCAGCTGATCCTATGTTAGACCTTCCACTGCCACCACCCCCTCCTGAACCTCTCTCTCAGGTAAATTCGTGGGGCCACAGATGACAGGACCGGTCACTGTCTTTGACTTTCTTTGAAGTGATCATTACATTCATAGGTCTGTATGCCCAAAGCTCTGAGATACCAAATACAGGGATAGCTAGAGTATGTTCATTGCAAAGCCGGAGCCCTCCATGAACAAGACCCATAGGTGTGTGTAAAGAACATATTAGGACCATATTCAGGATTTATTATAGTTTGGTGAAAAACTATATTT